TATAATTTGCGTTAGTGAGACATTTTGTACGAAAGGCGAGACAATTTTATTCTGGCAGGACGTTTCATGTGTAATTTAGAAAGTTTACATATTTGTTGACGGTCTGACAACAATACTAGAATTCAAATTCAAAGTCGGTGCTTCGAGCCCCTCGGCAACGATATTTTTTTTTAAATTATTTCATGTCACATAAATTCGCAATTTTTTTTTTTAATTGGATAGCAATTTTATACTTACACTCTCTTGAGAGCAACCATCTCCAAGATAATAAAAAAAATACTGTTCATCAAAATTGTACATTCCACTTTGTGAATAACTATAAATATAGGTAGTTGATTTCTAAAAAATTAAATTCTGTATTTCATTACTATCGTTATGTTCTTCTTCGCTGTTTGAGTTGGAATATACTTAAATTGTGTTTCCTATTTCTTATATCTATTGTCTCATTCAATCATGAAATAGTCATACGAATACAACACGTGATACTATTTTTCCTGGAAATATTCGTCGATTGACATACTCCAGCTTGCTGCTCTAATTTCGCTCATGACATTGATCCAAAACTACTCGCCTACAGCTCGTAGTTTTGATAACAATGTCATTCACAAAATTACTAGGCAACAAGCTGTCGTAACAATAACCGAATATTTCCGGCAAAATATTATCACTTGTGGTATTATATATGACTATTCCACTCTTGATCTCGGGAACCAATCAGAATCGACCATTTTCGCGGTTTCTTCTGCACTCTAGCGATATTTTTTGTTTATTAAAATTTATCGGACTTGCTCTACCAATACAGAAGCCGAATTGACCCACACGTGACCAACAAACCTCGTTTATCAGCGAAATTGAGAATAAGGCAAATCATTTATGCAAAGATTATTTTCATTATGGTATCTTTGCATGAGAATAGCTTGTCAGTTACCGATAAATGAAAAGTGTATCAAACAAAATAATATGATTAGGTTTTCTCAATTCAGAATTTCTTTCCACGTCCTGTATGGTGAATATCAATTTATTTCAATTTCATACATAAAAAAAATATGACTTCAATGAAACGCTACTGTTTTGCTTTTCATGAAGAATAATAGCAAATTCCATTGGCAGGAACTGATGGAGTGTTTCTCCACTGAGTTTATATTTACCTCTCTGTTTAACACATGCGAGTGAGGAGGAAACATACACATTGAGTTCAAAAACACTCCACCTGTTCCTGCCAATGGAATTCGCCATATGTCTGCACTTGTTTAATGAAGGGTTACATATGATTACATCTCTTATAAAAAGAATTTCTTCATATTATGTGTGTGCTCACTCTTTAAAAAGCATTAAACGTCAAATATCTACAGTTTTGTTAACGGGCCGGTGAAAACATTAATTTGGTTAGATACTGAAAACGAGTGACCCAAGGGCATTTACAGCCCTCAAAATCACAATGTTTATACAGTTTTTTCGTGAAGTACTGATCTCTCATATTATCACATTTATGATAGAACATTAAATATACATGGTGATCCACGTTTGAGTGATGACGTCCGCGACAATTTATTCAAATGGAAAATTCTATATATTATTCCATTTTTGGAATCTCCATGGAAAGCTGGATTCAGAACTATACAGCACACATAGGATTTGTATACAGTGCGACAGTTGAATTCAGTATAGTTTAGTATAGAATAATTTATCCTACACGAATCATTATCTATATGTATTAATTAAATTTGGAAGAATGCCCAAACGAAAATGAAACTCGACGGCTTCGGGCGTCCTTTCCAAAAATGATTCCTTTCAATTTTTACAAATAATGTTTCCACTACTGTAAGAGAGATTTTTCGCGAGATTTTTCCGTATGATTGTGCCAAGTTGAGATTAAAAATCGATTTGTTTCAGGAGATTCCTCAGAAATGGATAGTTTCGTTTGACTTGAAATGAATGTATATTCGGTACTACGAAAGCACTTATATAGGGTGTTTCCTGAACATGCATTGGTAAAAATCCGTGGTGATTCCTGAGGTACTTTTATGAAAACTACACTCACCGGCACAAAATTCCGCCACCCTGAAATTTTGTCCAAGTTTGAAGTTTTATAACTTATTCATTTTTTATCCGATTTCCATGATTTTGTTATCAGTTTGTAGATCCATTTATCATGTTTTTCCTCAATCATTTTATAAAGTATCATTTATCGATTAGGCTATATTATACAGGAGGAAATCAAAATGTTGTTTTTTGTCGTAATTTCAAAACACCCTGTAGGGAAACTGAGATGGATAATTTTGTTTACATACTGTTTCTTGTAATCTCTGATGTATTCTAAACATTTATTTTTTTGATTCATTCCATTATCTCATTTGTGCTGAGAGTTGCAAAATTTTAAATGAAACGCTGATTTGAAGCCTATTTTTATTAAGAAAAAGAAACACCAGGTATATCATGAAGTTAATCAACAAAAACAATTCAATAACGTGTATTTCCTCCTCTCGCAGCAATGACAGCTTGCAGTCTTCGCGGCATCGAATGAATAAGGTCACTTATTCTTTCTTGAGGAATAGCTTCATATTCTTCGGTCAGCGCCAGTCGTAAGTTTTGCAAGGTTTGTGGTTGTACAGGACGTTGACGAACGGCTCTTTTAAGTTGGTCCCAAAGATGTTCGATTGGGTTGAGATCCGGGCTACATGCAGGCCATTCCAATCTTGGAAGTCCAACTTCATCCAGGTATTCGCTCACTACATGTGCAACGTGAGGTCTAGCATTATCATGCATTAATGTGAATTCGTTCCCAATAAAAGGAGCAAATGGAACAACAACTTCTTGGAGGATTTCCTCAATGTAACGGTGGGCGGTTAGGGCTCCATTTTCAATAAATACAAGATTGGTACGTGCTTCGGTAGAAATACCCGCCCAAATCATGACTGAACCGCCATGATATGAGATTCGTTCTGATATGGTGCAGTCAGCATATCTTTCGTTTCTACGTCTGTATACCCGCTCACGACCATCCGGCGACCTTAAACAAACCCTGGATTCATCTGTGAATAGTACGTTTCCCCACTGTTCTAGAGTCCAGTCAGAATGCGATCTTGCAAATCTCAGTCGGTGTTGTCGATGGCGAGGAAGTAATCGTGGACATATTGTTGGCCTTCGTGAATAAAGCCCAGCTTCTGCCAATCTTCTACGTATCGTTCTTTCACTTACGTTTACTCCACGAATAATTTGCAAGTCATTTTTTATACACACAGCAGTAGATCTTCGATCTCTTAAAGAATTAATGGAGACAAAGTGATCATCAGCTGCACTGGTCATTCTCCTTCTGCCAGAGCCTTGCCGTCTAGTAAAAATTCCCGTCTGTAAATACCTACTCCAGGCATTTCGAACTGTTGACCGCGGAATTCTCAGAGTGCGGGCGACATAACTTTTGCTACGGCCATCCTCTATTAACGCAACAATTCTACCCACGTCTGCTGGAGTTAATACCATATTGACACACAACAAATTATAATTTTCTCACTGTCAAACATTCTGCCACAATAATCGCGTCCAAAGCCAACGTCGATAATTTTTAACCGAAATCTTGACATAGGTACATTTTCAAAAAATAACATCGTTTCATTTAAAATTTTGCAGCTCTCAGCACAAATGAGATAATGGAATGAATCAAAAAAATAAATGTTTAGAATACATCAGAGATTACAAGAAACAGTATGTAAACAGAATTATCCACCTCAGTTTCCCTACAGGGTGTTTTGAAATTACGACAAAAAACAACATTTTGATTTCCTCCTGTATAATATAGCCTAATCGAAAAATGATACTTTATAAAATGATTGAAGAAAAACATAATAAATGGATCTACAAACTGATAACAAAATCATGAAAATCGGATGAAAAATAAATAAGTTATAGAACATCAAACTTGGACAAAATTTCAGGGTGGCGGAATTTTGTGCCGGTGAGTGTAGTTTCTATAAACATTTGTCGAAAAATGCTTCCTAAGGAAGCTACGCCCCTTCACCCTTAACCTATTCAGTTTTGGTAGGTCCCTAAATGAGATATTGAAATTCTGAGCTCAAATTCTAATTCAGCATCAAAAATTCATGCGATGTACCTAATTTGATGATTGTTGAATGAATGATTTCGAAAATGTTGAGGAAAAAACGTCTTCTGGGTGGACAATTTGAAGGGGAATAACTTTTTTCCATGAAAATACACCAGGAATCACAGCAAGGATATTTTACCAATCATCAATAACACCTTGTATATGGTATATGTGGAAATGACAAAAAAACTTGAAACAAATTATAAAATAATTGTAGGCAATACAATTTATCAATTCCGGCCTTGTAGGCATTTGCTTGTGCAACGTGGTGTATCATCAATGCCCCCATCCATTTATATTACATTTTTTGGTGAATTGCGCAGAAACTTCACAGAAAAAGCAACGGTCCACCTTATTGAGTTTTCTTTCAGAGATCGCTGTGGACGGAGTATCGTCTGATACTATAGCATAGTCATCAATTTCGGCGTTTCTCTATACTGCATTCACTTCCAGGATTCCTAAAATCGGGGACCTTTCAGTTTTCTGTAGATACTTCCACAGGAAATGTTTTTCAGGAATGTCACTTCATCACTATCAATACCAGTCAGCAGAAACTTGTTTGTCTATAAAACTGCCAATATCTTGAATTTTTTGCCAAGTCTATAAACTTAGTGAAAAAATTCGAATACTTATCTCCTCTCCCTATCTGTTCTTCGAACATAATAGGGGCACCTTTCATGTGCACAAGATAAAAAAAATAAATGTTATATGTACTAAGGACAAATCAGACGATTTGTCAATTTTTTTCAATAAGAATGACTATCCAGTTGACAGTAATTTCAACTACTTTGTTGAACTTTGCGCAGACACATTAAGCTTTGAGTATCTTTCAGCTATATTGACAGCCATGCAAAACAAATTGTAAAATATCATTCCTAGTTTTTATTGGATGTATTCAATAACTGAAATTCTGAGATATATTATAAAAAAATACACCAGAAAATATATACAATTTATATTCAACATTTCATGACTCAGACAAATCATAGATACACAAGTAAAATTAAGGGGAAATATATATATACCAGTGTGGACCATATAATTAATTAAAATATTACCTATTTTACAAGTCTACTGCAACAACATACAAAACGATATTCAGTAATGGCATAGTAAAAGAAAAAAGTTGCAAAACTATCGCCATTTCATCACACTCGATCGGTATCATTGAATTTTTCATGATAAAATAATGGAAATAAATAATATCAAACAAAAATAAATATAAATTATACAATATTTATATAATTTGTTGCATAACATTCCTAAACTTCAAGCAAAACAAAAACAACTTTGAAGCCTGTATGGCACTATGCATTTTATAGAATATTCTGTACCAGAATCAATAAGATTGCAAAAACGGCTACTTATTGACATTGAAATGTCCTGTTTGAAGTTGAATTTTTAATTGTTGTACAGAATAATATGCTAGAAAATGGATAGTGGCATAGCGGTTTAATAGACCAATTCACTTATAGTCAGTTCACAAAGAATTCAAAAAAACTTCTTTTATATTGAATCTTTCACATAATGTGACAAATTATTCATAGTGAGATTACACTTATTCAATTCAGTCAACATAATTTTAAACAGGGTTGGGATAAGCAATGACAACAAAAGTAAACAAAAGTCCGGGTTTTAGAATTAATTCGGACTTTTTTTAAATTAATTCACTTGAAAAAAATCTAATTTCATTACTGTAATTTTGGACAGCAATGTTTCGTTGCATTGCAAGAACTTGTTCCGGACCCATTTATACTGCGGCAATTTATATATGTAAGTGTAGTACACAGAAATTATGACAAAAACAGATTGCAAGCCGGTCATTCCGATTCAGAGATGAATCGGCTAATACATATTATTTTTGTCAGAAATATGAATAGGAGCAATCAATTGCATGCAATGAAAAATTGGAAACTGTAAAGCGGCTCTTAGGAAATTTAGCTTTTCTCTAAATGACATTGAAAGTGGATTTTAAATGACCACTTAACAGGCAGAGAAAGTACTGCATAGGCAGAATAACATTGTTGTTATGCAACGTTCCAATAATTTGAGTCAAATTGGTAATCAAAATTGCCAATGACATTGGGTGAATACAAAATGATGGATTATTTCGACTTTGCGTGAAATTGGAACGAATTTGGAGAAAAAATCATCAAATCTTATGCTTCTCTGCCTAGTAAAATAAATAACTATTTCCACCTGTGGGCGCCTCACGGTTGTCAGATGTCAATTTCAATCGGTTATTTCAGTTAAAACTAGTTTAAATTAATGGTAATAATGCGATTTGTTTCCATTGGAGAAATTGATCAATGAATTATTTGAAAAAATTTAATTTGATTTAATTCACGAATTAATTCACTGACTTAATTCGTGCCAACCCTGATTTAAAAGGAATATGATAGCTAAGTAGAATGACCTTGACATCATCTTCCTAGCTTTGTTAAATTCAACTGCCTTTATCTTATCTTTATGAAACAATTCAGCTGTTTGTAAATTGGATAAGTGCTTGAACTTGTGAAGGATTGAATTACAAGCAATTCCTTATCTCAGTTATCTTATCACATCACAATATTTCTTCATTTGCTAGCAATAGTTTTGCATCAATAGATAAATCATCGAGAAACGATAACAATGTACACTCAACTTTATTTCACTTGAGTCTTCAGATGTTGTAAAAATTCGTGATAAGAAAGTGCAGTCTCCACCCGATCTTCTATCAACCTCTCGAAAAAGAGCATTCTATTAGTACTATTGTCCCTAATCACTTGCAATGTGGCATGGATTGGTTTATCATCATTTAAATAGTTAATGAATTGATGAAGTCTTTGGTTTCTGGGATTATCCAGAATTGGTAATCCATACATATCATCAGAAATGTTGTTATAATTATTAATTCCGAAAACTTCCATTAAAAACTCTTGGCTCACATTTGGACACACTAAAAGTATCATGTGGTCACCCATGTCCATCAAAAACGCTCCTTTACTCTCGAGACACCTTGCCGTTAATTGTAATCGAGGTGGAATATGTACGGATTCTTCCTCAGAATTCAAGATGACCTCATAATCTTCCAAATTATGTATAGGGTACAAATCAGGATAAATGTCTTGAATCTGCATATATAAAGGCTTGGTCTTCATATTGACCATCGACATTACTCGATCATCTAACCTTATAGAACTTCCAGTCCTAAATGCAGTGTGCTTTAAAAGAGCGGATATATAAAGTGGCAACAATTTCAAGGAATTTGGCGCCATAAGACCAGCAACTGGACTTCCCATATTCAATGTTATCTTATAACATGATAGAATATCTATTGCAACATTTATGAACGCCTCTCTAGCGTCAGAAAGACTAGATTGCATTGACCTATCAACAGCCATTTTTGAAAGCAATCCCACTATACACTGTTGATCAGCAGAATTGATAATATCATGTAAAGTAGAGGCAATGGGTAAACACATTGTATGTACTCTGATTCTACGTTCACCCTTACTGGAAGTATAAAGAAGAGCTGCTTGGAAAGAGACAGACTGAACGTCCGATAAGCTTTCTTCGATAGCCACCTGCATTCCAAAACCTGCATCAGGATTGATATTTGGCAGGGAGAGCAAATCGGTCGATCTTACAAAGAAATTCCCGTGGAAAGTGTGTATGGACAATCCTCGTGTACACCTTATTCTCATCACTGCTTCGAACCCAATTTTTCTGGTCAAGTATCTCCTGAAGCATCTCGAAAAGCTCTCACAGAGCACGACTTTGTTAGGTTTTAGTAAGGGGAAATGGTGCAGGCAACCTCCGCTGAATCTACTAATGCCCGAAATTGTTGCCACATCCACATACTGAGAATTCACTACAAACAAATCGACTGCTATTTGCTGACCGCTGCACTCCAACGCAAGTCGCTTGTAAAAGTCATTTGCAGGGTTCAAGTGTGCCACTTCTGCCGTCCCTCTCTGCGAAGGATCTTCCCTTGCAATCAAAGCTCCGGGTCCAACATTTGGCAAAGAGGCTTGGAAAACGGTCACCCTTCCTCCAGTTGAGCCCATCATCTTGAAAGCTGCTTGTAGAGCAGCACCTAATGCTGAATTTGTGTCATAAGTGTTCACAAAACGGTTAGGTAAAAGCCTTAGTAAATCAGCTACCAAGTCCATTCTGTCTTTCAAGTTAACCAATAGGTTATCTGGCGTGGGAAGGAATACTTCCTCTATATCCAGGACAGTCAGTTCCTGAGGCTGTGTAATTCCTTCTGGTAATGAGTAAAAATGCAAAGCAGAATCATATGCGATGAAGCCAACATGGGTTCTTGCGTCTCCCGGTACATTCTTAAGTTCTTCCAGCAGAATATTCGTTACAATTTGTAAGTATCCGCTCTCGATCGCTAGTCGAGATACGTCCAATAAGTAAAGGTAGACAGCTGGCTGAGGTGGACGTAGCATGTACTCAGCTGGTGCTATATATTCCAAAGTACTAGATTTAATCTCTGGTCTTCTAGAAGGATCTCCGTATGTCTTGGTGACCGGATCATATTGGAATTCTTCAGGTAACTCGTTGATCCTGTAGCACAAGTTGCATTTCCACCTCTTGTTATCCACAAACAGTACGAAAGGATTTATATACGTACGGCATGCTCTACATCTCACAATTACATTACACTGGATGACAGGAAGGTGACTAAGGTCTCTAAATGGATGAATGAGAACTCCTAATGGTAATCGAGACTTCTGTAGCAGAGAATTGTTCTCAGGGATCTTCGTTAAAGTGCAGCGGAAGATATCCGGGCTACAGTTTGCCTGATCCAAAGCTTCTTGTCCTAAACTTATTCGGGGTGCCTCTATCCTTGAGTTGGGTAGTATATTTGGGGTTTGTAGCAAATCGTAGTTCTCTGTTCCCCAAAGTTTATTGAAACCTAACTGTGTAACTCCACCCTGGAACTGATTTTGATGATTTTGGTTGGGATAAGCATTATGTTGTGGTGCACCCATGGGCGGCTGCTGAAGATTATTGTATGAATGTTGTGGCGTGTTATATTGAGTGATGGGAGGAACCTGATTATTTGTATCGACAGCTGTAGGATACCGGTTGCTATGTAAATTTGCCTTCTGATTAGTCAAATTCGTAGGGAGTGGAACTTGTTGAAAGTTATTTGTAGGGGTAGTTTGAACTAGGGATGGTGACGGTCTTAAATTAGACTGTGATAATGCATTGGGGTGGAGATTTTGATGAAAATTATGGGAGGGGGCATTAGGTTGGATAATAGGTGGTGCTTGTCTCATGATAGGCTGAACATTGGGATTCACATTTTGAAATTTAGTTGGGACATTGATAGTTGGTTCTGATACATTTGAATGCATCATTCTTGGTTGAGACAATGGAAAAGTGTTGAAATTCTGCTCCTGTGGAACTGGGCCTCTTATCTGTGATGTCTGGTAGAGACTTTGGTTTGGGATTGGGTACATAGGTGTATTGTTTGATTGGATTTGGCTCCTATTCATGTTATCAATTGGTGGAGGAATTCGACCTGTATTTGCAACTTGACTATTTGTGTTAGTTGCTGGAGGGAACTGATTTCTATTCATGACTGGTTGAAAGCCTGCCCTAATAGGTTGTACAGAACTAGGTCCATTTGTGCTTATCTGTCGTGGTAATTGATTACTAGCAGATCCCGACATATCTGGCAAAGCTTGAGATGGTGTTTTCATCTGATATCCACTGATAGGTTGGTTTTGAGATCCCTGTTGTGGTGGTCTATATGAAGAGTTATTATTGACGTTAGGAAACTGGTATGAACTAGCTTGTGGTGGTTGAGAAGATCGAACACTATTTGATATCTCTGATGATAGAATAGGCACTGCACTTTTTGTATTATCACTAGTTGTTATATTAGATTCCCCTTGAGGCTTACTATAATTAACATTGGCAGAAGCGGGCTTCTGCTGTAGAGGTACAGGACTCACACTGTGCCCTGTTGGATGCATACTCAATCCCCCAATCTGCTGTGTCACACCCATTAGAGATGATCTAGATGGTGGTAGTTGTGATTGTGGAATCGACTTACTCGGTGGTAATTGAGAAGCAGGAATATGATCAGATCTCACAGAAGGAGATGAACTTCTCGATGACTGTGATGAATGCACGCCATTGAATTGTTGGTACAATTTTTCATTGCGTATGGTGTTGTTTTTCAAACTGTCTGGAATAGGTGATACTCCATTCAAGTTAGGTTCAGCCATGTCGTTGAGCTAAAAAGATTAAATTAGATAATCCTTAGTATCGGTAGCCTGAGATAATTAGTGTGAAAGAGTTGACTGTGGAGTAAACTGATTCATGATGATTCTTAGTCAAAAGAACCAAATATTATGCCTATTACGAGTTACCTATACGCCGGGCGGTAAAGTAGTCCGCGGGCGGTAAAGTAGTCCGCGAGCGGTAAAGTGCCACTACGCCCGCAAAACCGGGCGGTAAAGTGCTACTTTACGGCCGGTCGTGCATAAAGAATTATTATTTATTTGCTGACAAAAAAATCTAGAAAAAACGTCATCTGTAATTTACCTTTGCCCATTTTATGAACCATGTAAAAATATAAAATATACATTGAAAAATGCATATCTATGGTGTAAGATTGAAGAAGGCATTCGACTTCTTTGATGAGACTCAGTTAATTCCGGGATAGGTCTGTTGCTTCATTGTTCACGAAATTGTGTTGCCGAGCAAGACCACCAGTCCGTCAGAACGAGTGGTATTGCTATACGGCAACAACATTGAGTTAACAATGAAAAACAGAATTATGTGAAGATATTATCCGAGATATTATCTGATTATCTAATTCATTTTTTTTTTAGTTGCTCTTTCATAATTTTCCCTGCTATAAACATATATGTTTCTTGGGAATGATAAATATTATTATATCATTATACTCAGGACAGAGTGGTATTTTGCTAGACTATTTCATGTTCACGAAGCATGTTTGTCTAAAAATTTCATTATAACAATATGTCTCGTAGATTTGAACAAATCCATCCATTTTGTTGCCGTATGCAATACCACTCGTCCTGACGGACTCGTGGTGTTGCTTGGCAACACTATTTCGTGAACAATGAAGCAATATAATTATATCGAATGCCTTTTTCAATTCTACACAGCAGATATGCATTTTTCATGTAAATTTTTATTTTTACATGGTTCCAAAAATTGGCATAGGTAAATTGCAGATGACGTTTTTTCTAGATTTTTTTGTTAACAAATTTCGACCGTCATCTGATAACGAAATGATATACAGGGTGTTTCAGACTTAAATGTACATACGGTACCTGTAGATAGAGGACACTTCGGTGGTTCCAAATCACCCCCCATCGATATGTCTACCGTCTTTGATAACTGAGATACAGGACGTTATCTTGATATTGGCAAAATCTTCATCTGGTTATAACTTCTGAACCACTTTGTATAATCCATCCATACTTGGTGGAAATATTTCACTTATATTACCCATCAAAACCAAATGAAAATCCGGATCAATATCCAGGTCCGTCTTGAGGAAAAACAGAAAACTTCTTTTATCTCAAAAACAACACTGTGTATGGCAAAATTGTATTGATCGGTTTTGATATTTGGAAAGAGCGGAAAAAAATAAATGAAGTGACCTACTTTTTACGAGTGCGCATCCAATTTGAAAGATGGTTTATTATCATGTTTTAAAATATTCAGCTCCATTTTTATTGAACTCATAATTCAAAACCCAATTTTTATACAGAAAAATAACATTCTCCAAAGTTCAACATCATTAAAGTCAAATTAGGTGAACTATCGATACATTTGTTTGTTTGACAGAATAATTTGTCGATGATTTTAAAAACTTTCGAGGACTCATTTTATACTTTACTATTTATTCATAAGCTGCGGTAAAGTAGGCTGTGAAGAAAAAATGAAAATTCTGACAGTTCATAATCACTATAGTTGCGATATTATTGGTAAAGTTATTGTAGGCACAATTATGAACAATTTGAAATGTAACAACCCAATACAAGCACCAGAAATAATTATCTCAACATTACCTATAATATCACACTAGTGATTATGACCTGTCAAAATATCAGATTTTTTGCACAGCCTACTCAACCGCAGCTCGTGAATTAATAGTGGAGAATAAAATGAGCCCTCAAAAATGTATGATACCATAGACAAGTGATTCTGTCACAACAAATCTATCGATAGTTCACCTAATTTGACTCTAATGATGTTGAACTTTGAAGACTGTTATTTTTTTGTATTAAAATTGAATGTTGAATGGGCTTATATCACAAAAAATTTTTATTTCATAATTCGATAGAACTCACCCAAACTAGCTCACCACCGCAAACCGTTTCTTGCTGTGAGCTCCCTACGTTTTATGAAAAATTATTGAAATCCCCGATTTTTCGGACCTCTGAAAACGAGGCGATGATGTGACGTCAAAACCCTAATACTGAAACAAGACTATTCCAGACAGAGATGAATGATACATGATTTCTCACAAAGCACCAAGATTCGTGAATCGGCAAGTTGATTTTTGGGACATAGATGATAAGAACAAGAAGAAGATCAATTCTAACCTATATTGAGTTTCTGCAACTTTCGAATATTAAATTGAAATATTTCGACAAAAGTATGATTGAAAAATGATCTGTGCCTAATTGCAATTAAAAAAACATCATTTAGCTGGGAATTTTGAGAAGAAATCTCGCCCCTCACTAGGTAAACATAATATTATAGTAGTAGTTTTGCTTTGCAGAAATTCATAGGGAAATTGCTTGAAGAATGAATGATCCATCTCCTAGAAGAACATTCAGCGGGAGATGCAAGCAGTATCTAGTCTTGGGAATCACATTGTTTCATACCAATTGATCATATTGTTGCATAGGTAAACATATCGATCAGTGACTGATTTAATGAGGATTCTCCCTCGGAATCTCCATATGATGGGTATTCTGATGTTAAATATCTTTTCAGGTGAACAATTTTCCAATGCAACTATAATAGGTACAAGCAATGAAAATTGAATGAATATTGTGGAACTTACCTTTCAGATTTTCTATTCCTCATTTCAGCACTGAGGAACTGTGGAGATTTTCTAGTATGTTAGAGACATAAAAATAATTAACCATTTCCAAATCAATTTTCAGTAGATTATATCTGATGAGCCTTTTACAAATCCTGATTCAACGTTCATATTTATATTCAATATATCAATAATATGTATTAATATGATATAAAGCAAGATTTGGAGGTTAATTTCATTACGTGTCTTCTCTTCTCATTTTAGACGACATAAATAACTTCGGAATCGGAATTCGAGACTCGATGCAAATGCAGCTCCATGTGAAACGGGTCAACAAAGCAATGTTGCTGCGTTCATGAAATATATTGGATTATTGTGAAATTGTCATGGTGCAAATGGTTTTGACTAGTTTTGAGATTGAGACATTTCGTTGTTTAGAGATTGTTTATATTCTAATGATTCAACCTACCATCGACAAGTTGAATATATTTTTCTGCAGTAGTGGTAGTTGATATCAAAAGATATTTCAATATCGATTTCGATCTCTCGGATATTTTGTTTAGATGATATGGCAACAGTGATAAGTGTCACACATGGGTCACTCTATGGGTCACGCTCATTGGTTCCAGGCGAGATGAGGTTTCTACGTCATAAAGAGGGTCCGTTTTCAGAAGGAACTATTATTCATGTCCAAAAATAAAACATTCCAGTTAATTTTTAGATGGAATTATGTCGCCAATCGTTATTTATGTATAAAAGGATCATTATAAACATGGTTTGAGTTGAAAGTTCTACTAAGGTGTACACGCCCATTATAAGTTCAATAAAAATGCCTCGAAATGGAGTAGAATATTTCAAAACTTGATAATAAACCATCTGTCAAATTAGATGCGCACTCGTAAAAAGTAGGTCACTTATTTCATTTTTTCCCGCTCTTTCCAAATATCAAAACAGACTTACAAAATTTTGCCATGCAAGGTGTTGTTTTTGAGATAAAAGAAGTTTTCTGTTTTTCCTCAAGACGGACCTGGATTCTGATCCGGAATATTTCTACCAAGTATGGATAAATTATACAAAGTGGTTCAAAAGTTATAACCAGATGAAGATTTTGCCAAAATCAAGATAACGTCCTGTATCTCAGTTATAAAAGACGGTAGACATATCAATGTGTGGTGAATTGGAACCACCGAAGTTGTTGTTGTTGTTCTTTATTACCCCAAGAAACATATTTGTTTATAATAGGGATACATAAACATATGATATATATATATATATATATATAAAACAATAAAAAAAAAAACTAATTAACAAGTTATGTCAATATAACATAATAATAAAACCATTCCAAGTATTCAAATGAGAATAAATTGCTCCGTTTATTGTGTCATGAGTATATATTTTTTCATATTGACTTTGAATCTTGTTTCATCATCAATATGTTTCAAATCATAAGGTAATGAATTATATAAAATGATTCCGTTGTAGAATACTGATTGTTTGCCAATGATGGAGTTATATGGGTTTGCTATTAATGAATTCAACTGTCTCGTTGCATGAGTATGAATTGTATTTACTTCAGTAAAGTTCAAGTTGGATATTTTTATTTTTTTTCTCACAAAATGGATGAAAGAACAAATTTTCATTTTATATAAAGATGATAAATTCAACAGATTTTTTGGTTTGTAAAGATTAATAGTTGGTTCCAGGTAATGTAAATTGTAAATGCACTTAATTGTTTTATTTTGTAATTTCATTAATGGTTTCAAATGTGATATACTTGTGCTTCCCCAAATTGATATTAAATATTGTAATTTTGAGTAAATCAGACAGAAATATATATTCTTCAAATATCTAAGAGGAATGAAATTTCGAATTTTGTATAAAATGCCAGTAATTGGATTGAGCTTTTTTCTCAGGTGATCTATATGTTTAGTCCACGATAATTGTTCATCAATATAAAGACCTAAGAATTTTGTAATATCTAAATATTTTATGGCTTTCTGGTTGAAAAATATTGTTGTTTTCGACATATCTACAGGTATCATTTGTACATTTGAATCTGAAACACCCTGTATGTCCCAAAGGCATATAAAATCATTGTAGTTTATCGAACGGCACCTGTGCCAATCACTATCCTGAGCAGAATAATGAAAAAATTGCACTTTCCTGTGCGGAAATTACTCGATTTCGGGATTTGATAACGAG